TCCAAAAACGAATTTAACTATCACTACAATGAAAGACCGTATAATCTCAATGATTGATACCAATCCTGTAGTTATTATAGAGGGACCAACTGGTTGTGGCAAAACAACACAAGTACCACAATTTATACTAGATTCTTGTTATAAAAAAAGAGCTCACTGTAACATCATAGGTGACTTATCTTTTATCTATATTAACACATTATAATATTCTATAAAAGATAGTTCTATTAAGAATTTTAAATCAAAATATCAGTTTTATTTATAACAATTAACAAACTATTTATTTGAATTTTTAATAGTAACACAGCCTAGACGTATTGCTGCTATTAGTATTGCAAAAAGAGTTAGTCAAGAAAGAGAATGGCCTGTAGGAACTCTTGTTGGATATCAAGTAGGCATGATAAACAATACATCTGAAGATACCCGTTTAACATATTGTACAACTGGTGTGCTTTTACAAAAATTAATAAATACGAAACATATGTTGGAATATACTCATATTATACTAGATGAAATTCATGAACGTGATCAGGAATTGGATTTCCTGTTGCTTATTGTAAGAAAATTTTTACGGACAAATTCACGTACAGTGAAAATTGTACTTATGTCTGCAACATTTAATGTTGAAAAATTTGCTAAATATTTTTCATCACCTGTTGGAAATAAACTTGTAGCTGCACCTGTCATTGATATTGCTAAACGAACTTACTTTAATATAAACATTTATTATCTGTGTCAACTTGGTATGTTAGGACCAGTAAGTAACAAATATAGTTTAATAATTCTTAAATATAAATACATTTTTGTATATCTATAAATGTTTACACTAAAACTATTATATATCTCATAGATACCAGAAATATCACGAGATGAACCAAAAGTAACAAAAAGTATGATGGATTTTTGTGTACACATAGTAATTGTTCTTGATGAACTTGACATGAAGGCGGATGATGCATATGATAGTAAAACAGGGTTATATAATAGACATGTAATTCTTGTATTCTTGCCAGGAATTAATGAAATAGAAGAAATGCATAACATGTTAACGTCTGCAAAATATGAAAATTCTAAATGGGATATTATTGTTTTACATTCATCAATTACAAATGAAGAACAACACAAAATTTTTGAACAACCTCCAAAAGGCTATCGTCGTATTATTTTATCAACAAATATTGCTGAAAGTAGTATTACTGTACCTGATGTAAAATATGGTATGACTATATCTCATCAGTATTTTAAAAAGTATAATAAATATCTGAATTAAAATATACTCTTTCTTTACAGTAATCGATTTTTGCTTAATAAAACAACTTGTGACTGACCCAAAAACTAATTTTCAATGTTTGGAACTTTCTTGGGCTAGTAAAGGAAATTGTCAACAACGCGCTGGTCGTACAGGTCGTATAATGGATGGAAGAGTATATAGATTAGTACCAAAAAATTTTTATGATGTAAGTATTATTTTATAATTATTGAAAAGAAATAAAAAAAAACCATTTTACATATTAACAAGGAGATTATATTTAATCATTAATTAATTTATTATTTTGAATATTATTTTTGTATAATAACAGACAGTACTACGTGATGAAGGAAATCCTGAAATGTTGAGAGCTCCTCTCGAAAACTTAGTGCTTCAGGCAAAAGTTCTAAACATGGGTGAACCTAAAGCTATCTTAGCTTTATCTCTTGATCCACCTGATCTTAGTAACTTAGAGCGTACTATACTCTTATTGAAAGAATCTGGTGCATTACTCAACAATAATGATAAAACACAACTCTTTGATGGTGAATTAACAGATCTCGGCCGTATAATGGCTGCTCTACCATTAAATATTTATGTTACTAAATTGATTGTATTAGGTCATCTCTTCAGTGTTTTAAGAGACATGATAATAATTGGTTGTAGTATGACTGTAAAGGATATGTTTTGTAGCCCATTTGGAAAAAAGTTATTAGCTTATAATGTGAAATTTAGTTGGGCTTGTGATTCAGAAAGTGATTGTATAGCATTTCTAAATGTTTATAAAGTATGGACAAATGAGAAAGCAAATCGTCATTTAAATAATAATGCTATGGAAAAGAGATGGGCACAAAGACAATTTGTGCAAATAAAAGTATTGCGTGAAATTGAAGCTCTCGTGTATAACGTGACTCAAAGATTAAAAAAATTTGGTATAACTGAAAGTGTTGGAATTAATAAAGTTAGGTGGGATGATGAAGTACGACCATTTGTTCTAAAAATTGTAATTGCTGGTGCATTTTATCCTAATTATTTTGTTAAACATCAAAATGTTGAAGAATTAAAAGAGGGGCATAAGATCTTGAATGGATTAGACTTAACAAATACAGTATATTTGCAAGGTTGGCCATTGAAACAGCCAGGACTTTTGTATGCACGCAAAATTCAAAATATTTTCCAGGATTGTTTTAAATCTTCTGTCGGAAAAGTAAACGTTTCTTTCAAATCTTCGCGTATATATCTTCAATTTAGTAAAAGTTATACAGATGAAGAAAGAAAAATTCCACTTTCAGTATATAGATCTATTAAAATGAGACAATGTAATATACCTATTGAAGTATCTGTTTTAAGTGAAAATGACGCTCTTGATTTGGCAAAAAAAATGAATCTTGAAGACAAGTCAATATTTTTTAATAATAATATTTCTATAAAAGAATGCAAAAAACCTGCTTATAATAATCCAAATCTTCCAGGTCTTGATATTTCATATATTCCAATTAAAATAATAAATGTAAGTATAGGAATTAATTTATTCACTTAATTAATAAAAACTCAGTATTTTTTATATGTATATAATTTACAGGTCATAGATCCTGGTCATTTTTGGATACATATAAATGATAAAGATACACATGATAAAGTAAGGCAAATAAAAAAATTTCTGAATGAAGGAGAAAAATCATTAAAAAAATTCGATTATCTTCCAGAGATTAACACTCTTGTAGCTGTTCCATTCAAGAAAACTCTTCAAGTAGAATTTTATCGTGGTGTAATCATAAATTATATCGAAAAATCTGATAACAAATTTGCTTTATGCCAATTAATTGATATAGGTCAAACAATAAAAATTCATATAAACAATATACGACAAATTACATATTGTGAAGATATTATGAAAATACCTGCTTTAGCACTGGAATGTGTTTTAGCTAATATTCAACCTTGTACAACACATAGCCACAAGATACATTGGCCTCAGGAAGCTAATAACAAATTTCATGAATTACTTGAAAGTAATGAACAAATATTTGGTGAAATATATTCTGTTGTTAATAATGTTATAGCTTTAACATTGATAGCTGTAACTACAGAAAACAAAATTAATATCAACCAAATATTAATAGATCAAAAATTAGCAATGCATAAAGAAGAAAGTTATTTATCACGATTGAACAATGAGTTACGAAAAAAATATGAAAATATGAGTGCAACGCAACTTCTTTATTATGAGAAGATGCAATACGAAGATTATAATTCATGTGATGATTATCCTGATCTTCCTGAAGACTCGAAATGGGTTTCAACAGTACGTTTACGTGGTCCTTTTTCTCCTCTCGAATGTTCTTTACGACATCTTACAATTGCTGGTAGAGGTAAAAAAATTATCATCGAAACGAATTCAGTTAATTCAGTTCTTCTGGATAGTAATTGGAAGGAACAACAAAAACATCTCTTAGTGGCTGGAACTGTAAATCAAAATGTAAATGGTAGCAATTTAACATTACGTAATACCACTTTAATACCTGCCATTCCTGGTTTAACAGCATTACTTGCTTTAATTTTTACACCACGTATGGAATTACGACGTAATTCTTCTGGTACATACTATGTTGGAGCATTATGTGGATTAGGATGTGATAGTTCTACCAAAGAGAGTCTTTTCCCAGAACGTGATATGGAAATATATTTTGATGTTGAGATAACATTTGATGATTTACAAGATGTGAGAATATATTTATATATTATATATTTACCTTATTATATATTACCTTATGAAATTATATTTATGTTCAAATTCTTTTATAAAATTCATGTTTACAGATAAATAGATTGCGACATTGGATGAATATTGGCATGCATATTAACGAAAAAATTGAAGAAAATAATAATTCTGAAGAAATAATTTCTTATCAAAATAAAATAAAAATAATATTATCCAAACTTATGGATAAATGTAGAAAAAAACAAGATCCTGAAATGTTGATGAACTTTTATAAATGGGGAATGTATGATGAATTATTATTTCTACAACCTAGTAGAATGACCATGGTCAAAAATAATATTTACAGTTTACATTGGGCATTAGAATTAGAAGAGAAAAATGATGAACTCGAAAAAATGACGAATCATATTAAGGAATTACGTAATTTAGCTTCAGAGTAAGTTGATATAAAAATATTGTTTTGTATTTTAATCCCGTTTTATATTACTAAACAAATACTAATATCTTTTTCTATGCAGAGATGAACGAAAATTACTGAATACTGAAATTTACTGCGATTTCTGTAAAGTAAGTATATACAGTGTTCTACAACTTCGTGTACATTTGTATACACTAGTACATAGAGAAAATGAAAAAAAATGGAATATTAAACTTTAAACATTCATATTTGCCAGAACATTTCTAACAACATAAATCGAAAGACTTAATATTTTAATTTTTAATACAATTTGAATTAATGTATAATTTCTCATAATTACTTTTTTATTTTTTATATATTTTTATGATGTTATAAAATAAAAATGAAATATTTTTAGTTATTTATTAGCAAATGGAGAAAATATTATTTTAGTAACACTTGTACATTAGCATGTACATTCGTGTCAATATTATATGCAATATTATTAGTCCAATATATGTTATAATAATATTATAAAACAATATTATATAGTATTATATCAAATACAATAGACTGTGATCTATGTTAATTTTTGATATTTTTCTTCAAATAAATAACAATTAAAGATAAAATTGGTATTATATTATTTTATTGTATTTTATTTTTTTTTTTTTTCCATTGACTTAGCTACAGACCAAAAGTTTACTGTTTAATACGTATTGGTACATGTATATATCGTAAAATAATCGATAACATTAAAAATTGAATTATATCAAATTCTCTCGTTGTGTACTTGAGAAATAATAATGTACACAATGTATAAGATATAAATATATATCTCTATACAATTTTAACAGTTTACTATAAAGATTTGCTATTACAGAATATTTTTTGTTTGATAGATGAATTCGTATATTATTTTTCACATATGTGTTCTGTAAATACTTTATAATATATAAGCTAAATTAATTCTTTGCACTCAAGTGGCGCCGATACGACGTTCGATAGATTTGAAATGTTAACTCAAGCGACGTTGCTACGGTCTTTTTTGTAACTTGATCTGTTTACTTAAAATATTTCTCTCAGAAATACTTTCGTGCCAATTTTGACAATTTTTGTACATTTTTAATCAACTCTTAGCTCAGTTTAGCTAGTCTCATCATAGCATTCGTTCGAAACAGTCTTGGCAGTAAATATGTCACTTGTTTGATTACGAAAAGTGACACAGGAATATCGACGGTCAAAAGGATTACACGAGGTGGTGTGGAAATAATGGTTAAGAAACCCAATATTGTATTGAATTATATAAAATATATGGGTGGTGTTGATCGACTGCATCAACGTATTTTCAGTGAAAATCGCTTAAATGGAGGCGTAAGCTTTTTTTTGAGGCATGAAAATTTGCCTGATCAATTCCTACATTTTGTATAAACTAGAAAAGACCAAAAAAAGGGAAAACCCCTCAGCCATTTGTGATTTCTAAAAATATTTAGGCAATTGAGAGGATCATATCGTCAGCATCGTGAGCGTCTACGTCGCATTCCGATGAAATCCGATTAAATGGGAAGCTTCATATAGTACTAAAAGGGCCAAAAAGGGACTACAAGATTTGCTCTGACCGTAACACGCCTGGAGGTAGGTGGTAAGTAACATATTACTGCGATACTGATAAACCTAGGATGCATCTTGGGCATTGTTTTACGAAATATCACACGAAAACTAATTACAGAGTGTAATATGTATCAAATTTTGTTGTTTTCGATATAAAAATAAATAAATTGGTGAAATTTTATTATTTGTATACGTTTGTTTGTTTATAAATGATTTTTAAAATACTTGTAAAATGTTTTCCTAATTTGATCGAAATCGTCTCGAGTTGTTGGTTCGCGCAAGCGAAAAAGTCCTCAAGTGCAAAGGGTTAAAATATGTATGTTAATTATGCATTATAGACCATAGATATTTAAATGTTAATTCTATACCTCTCTTTGTAAATAACGTGCACCAGGTTGTGTATATAATAAACGACCAGGTATATTAGCGCCTGATGCATTAACATAAGTTCCAGGAGGTGGGGGAGGATATGGTCCAGGTGGTGGTTGAGGTGCTCGTACTGGATATCCAGAAGTAATACCACCTGTTTTGGCTCCCTTTAAAACAAAATCAAATGTCTTATCAAAATAATGAGATATATCGTAAAGAGTTGTAATATTAATAAACTAGATATTTTTAAATTAAAATGTAATATAATGTTATTCTTACTTGTGGTGGTTGTTGTATCGGCATAGCACCACCGTGTACAGTAACATGACTACCAGGGCGAAGATAAAATTTATCTTCTGCATATGCACCTTTATGTTCTAGAGTATGTAAACTAGTTACATATGCTATAAAAAATATAATGTGTTTTTATTAATTTCAAGAATTTCTATATGCTATATTATTTAAATGAAAGATTTATAAGATAAATAATTTTGATATTAATAAAAAAAAATTGAAAAATACCTGTCTGATGTGTAGATAATGCTCCTCTATTTCCTGATAAATATACTGGTTTTGCAAGTTCAGGTTCTCTGGATTGCTGCGAAGTTGGAGCAGAATAACTATAAACACTTTGTCCAGTAGGTGTAGAATAGAAGTTTGATGCAGAATATTGATTGTTTTCTAAAAAAATGGAATTAATAAATACATTATACTTTGTAATTCTAAATGACATAATCAAAATAGATTTCAAAGTTACTGACTATTCCAAAGTACAGCTCTAGAATCATTAGATCTCCTAGCAGCATCCTCAGATTCTATAATGGATAATCAAAATTATTTGCTAATTTGAATGAAATAAATCGCACCATTGTGTGACAGTCGTAATTAAAAGAAACTAATCATTACACAATTCTTCTATTAAATGTACTTACTAGGTGGAGGTGGATTATAACTTGAAATAGAAGGAGGTGGTTTATATCCATATCCAGCATGATATGGAGAAGCTGTTGGTGGAGGTGAAGGACTATGTGATCTTTTTAATGGACCCTTTAATGAAAGAATATATGTAATTTAATGTATACAATATTACAATATTCATGATTAGAAATATTATATATACACTAGGTAGAAGAGTGTGCGTTGGTGCACCAACTGCTACTTTATTATATAAAGGGCTGCTGCTACGTGGTAATGGTAAAAATAGTGGAGACTGTACTACTTGAGAAACAGTACCAGGATATCCTCCAACTGCTGTTAATACTTCAGAACAGCCCCTGTATATATAAAAACATACTTAAATAAACATAAAGATATAAATCTTTAAAATTATATAGAAAATGTTAATTTCTATTTGAAATATTTATTTAATGTAAAGAGAGAAACATAGAAAAGTACAAACCTTGTTTCCTTAATAAGTTGACGCCTTCTATTATCATCTTCATTAAGAACTTTCTTTAATTGTAAAAATAATTGATGCTTTTCATCCTTTAATTGTGCCAATTCATTTTCAAGATTGGATATTTGTTCACGTGTTTCACCTAAAGTCATAACATCTTGCTTTTGTTGACGTTCTCTCTCTTTTCTCTGACGTTCTTCTTCTGCATCAGCTTCTTGTTCTATAAAAATTATAAAATATATTCTCTCCTTAACTTCTTAATTATACTTTGATTTACATAATACACATACTAATAAAACTAAATTATACCCTGTTTTTTTCGTTGTCGTTCTCTTGTAATATGTGCCTTTAATGCTTGCCACATCTGTTCACTACGTTGAGGTGGTCCTACTATTACTGCAGGCATCTTTTATCTGTACTAGTTTACCTTTTATTAACTATTATTATTTAATAACTGTCTTTCTCTATTATTTAATTTGGATATTTAACAATATCAAAGTTAAAGTTTATATATACATTAATATTTCTAAAATTATTACAAAACAATATCGAATTAATATTTAATATAACTTTTAATCTAACTTTTTAAAATTAATTTATTTTTATAATTTATCTAATTATATTTAACCTTTATACCAAGACTAATAATTTTATTAGATTAGAATATATGCCAATATTCAAATATATTAATTCACTATTCCAAAATGTAAAATTTACTGTCAGAATTCTTTTAAATAAATAAGAATTGTTTATTTAATTAAAGATCATATAAAAATTCATTATAATATATTTAAATCAATATATACATATCTTTTTTCATGAAAATTTACATTGAATAGCAAGAACACAATTCTATACTAATACGTATTAATATGTTCATTTAGTTTGTCAAATCATTGCTTTTTCATTTTTCTTTGAAGTTTAACCAATCATACAAATATAGCTTATATATCTGATTTTATCATTTTTTACTGTCTTTACTAGTCGGAAAGAATACAGGTTATAACCACATGATAGCATGTACCGCGTTTACATGGCGGCAATAGAGATACATATATCAACCGATTTGATTTTAAAAGTGATATATCTGTAATAAAGACAATTTTTTATAAAAAAAGAAAGTAATATTTAATTATAAACTCGTTACTATTTGTTCACGTTTAAGTTCATAAATAATTATGTGAATTAAGTAATATATAAAGAAGAGTTATATTTGTCATTAATATTGACAATAAGTATTTTGAAATGAGATAATCATTTATGTTCTTTCATTTTCATTCATTCTGATCGAATTTGGTGCATTGAATATAGTTGTGAAACTTTAATATAAATTTAAAAGAAAACAATGTCCACTAATGCATCAGCATTCAATGAAAGAGATGATGAAGTAGATGATGATAATGACACAGATGATTATAATCCACAAGCAAAATTGATAAAAACACTGGAAGTATGTTATATTTTTTAACCTATAAGATATGCAAAAAATGTAAAAATATTTTTTTAAGATATTTTATATTAAACATATAAATGCATTATATATATATATATATATATATATATATATATATATATATATATATATATATATTATGATCTATTTTTTTGTTTAGAGAAATGGAATTACAGCAGGTGATATTAAAAAATTAGAAGAAGCTGGTTACCACACTGTAGAAGCAGTAGCATATGCCCCAAAGAAGCATCTTATTTCTATCAAAGGTATTAGCGAAGCTAAAGCAGATAAAATATTGCAAGAAGCATCAAAGTTAGTGGTAATGGGTTTTAAGAGTGCCACAGAGATACATCAAACACGTGCAAACATTGTTTATGTTACTACTGGTTCTACAGAATTGGATCGATTATTAGGTGGAGGAATTGAAACAGGTTCTATCACAGAGATTTTTGGAGAGTTTAGGACAGGAAAGTCTCAATTATGTCACACATTAGCAGTAAATTGTCAGTTACCTATAGATATGGGAGGAGCAGAAGGTAAATGCCTTTATATAGATACAGAAGGAACGTTTAGACCAGAAAGATTAATTGCTGTTGCTGAAAGATACAAAATTGCTGGTGATTCTGTTCTTGATAATGTCGCTTGTGCTAGAGCTTATAATACAGATCATCAAACTCAATTAGTAGTACAAGCTAGTGCAATGATGACAGAATCCCGATATGCTATGTTGATTGTAGATAGTGCAACAGCTCTTTATCGTACTGATTATTCTGGTAGGGGTGAATTATCAGCTAGGCAAAATCATTTAGCCAGATTTTTAAGGATGTTGTTACGAATAGCAGATGAACATGGTGTAGCAGTTGTTATAACTAATCAAGTAGTAGCTCAAGTTGATGGTGCAGCTTCTATGTTCGGTGGTGATCAAAAGAAACCTATTGGAGGTAATATCATAGCACACGCGAGTACAACTAGATTGTATTTACGTAAAGGTAGAGGAGAAACAAGAATATGTAAGATCTATGATTCACCTTGTTTACCAGAAAGTGAAGCAATGTTTGCTATAAATGCAGATGGTATAGGAGATGTGAAAGAATAATATATTTCATGCCAATATTATATTTTAAATAATGTAACAATATTAATTAACAAGTTTGTTAAATTCAGCTTTTCTTAAGATAAATTATATACTATTTTTCATAAAAATATCTTGTTCTTTTAATATAAGGAAATTAGTATTTTGAATAAGATTTGAATAAGTATTATATAAATGATAAACAGGAAGTGTTCACTATCCATAGAATAAATAACTTAAGATAGTAATGAATACTTTTTATACAAATTTGTAAGATTTATTATAAAAAGCTTCTATATCTATAACAAATAAAATTGTTTATTAATTAACCTGTTAAACGGAGATTTATAATCGGCATAAATGCGTAAAATTTATTTTAATTAAGAATAAAATGGTACACAGATGTAAATAGTGAACTTTTGGATAAATTAAATAATCATAAAAAAAAAAAGAATAGAAAGGTATAATGCTTTTGTGGTATGAGTGCGACATAAATGATTTATTTATTTTTTGATCATAAGAAAAGTTATATTTTTTCAAGTCAACTCTTTCTCCTTGAAAGATTAACAATTTTATTTTTTAATTAATTTATATTCAAATATATAATAGAAATACATAAGATGCATAATAACAATTGTTTTTTTCCTTTTACATCTCTCATTTTTGAATTATATGCAATATGATAAAGTTAACAATGCTTACAATAGATAAAAAAAAAATCTCGAAATATTTCCCTATAGAAATGGAAATATGCGCGCGCAGAATAGTTAACAGTCATCATTGTCACTTATAGTTAACTAGTATCTCTTTGTTTTATTGTGATAAAAGTATTTATTTAGAAATTCATCAAATTTAACAAATAATACATATTATTACATATATATGCATGTAAAGAAAATATAAAAAAGAGAATCTAAAAGACATAACCAGTAGAATACTGAGTGAGATATATTTTTTCTACAAGAGATTAAATCTTATATCGCATTACTTTACATTAGTAGTTCGACCTTCACCGGCTTGGTTTCGGAAAATGTTCAGATTGTACAATTTAAATCTGTTGATACATTTAGATTTTCGAAAATTAAATCTTACGCGAGTATATTTTCCGACAAATATTTTTAAATTACAAACAATTAAATCGAAAATAAGCCGGTAGGTTAAACTTTCGAAGAAATTTAAATCAAAGAATTAAATTTCTTTGAATTAAATTTCTTTCGATTCATTCCTTGCGATGACATGTTCATGAATGAGTGTTTATCAATATTTAAAAGTATTTCTTTTTTATTACAGCCGATATTACTCTTGTAACACAATGAGTGACGATATATCTTTGTATACTTTACCGAATAATCAGCCTGTAGTTTCGTTAGAATGTGAAACTGCTTTTAAGTCATTAACTTTAAAGGAAAAATTGTACGCACACTATTTAAGCCAGGCTGCATGGAATGGTGGTCTTATCGTACAATTACAAACTTCACAAGAATCTCCATTAATTTTTGCTCTTTTACATAAAATTTTTCTTTCCGAGTCTATAAGCGATTTAAAAAAAACTGTACTAGAGACAGGCATTTCTGAAAATGAATTTACTGTAAGTATATTACATCATTATTATTTTTACAGTTTATTTATATTTTTATATTTATTTTTAGGCTTTCTTGGTCTATGTATGTGGAATATTATCAAATAGTGGTAATTATAAGTCTTTTGGTGACAGTAAAATAATACCAAATTTACCTAAAAATAAATTTGAAATAATTGTAAAAGCTTCAAAAGCTTTTAAAGAAAATTCTTTAGAAATACAAAGTCTCTGGGACAATATTCACGATGTGATGTATTCTTTAGAAAATAGGTTAAAAACATTAGGATTGAGTGACAAAGGTGTAACCACTTATTTCTCTGCTAATTGTACACATGAAGATGCAGAATTAGTTAATAGATTTATGCAATCTAAAGGATTGGAGTCCTATAATGCAAGATGTTTTAAAAGTGTAATATCATCCAATAATTCTGAAAATAATAAAAATACAAATCTATATGAGATAAGATTAGCCTCTGAATTGAAAGAAGATGATCCAAAGATAACTTTAGCACAGGAAATCTTTGAGGGAGTCACATTCAATATTACAAGAGGAGATTATAATACAATTTTAAAATTAGTTAATGAAAACCTTGAAAAAGCTAAGGAGTACGCAGCAAATGAGACAGAACAAAAAATGCTGGAGAAATACATAGATCATTTTAAAACAGGTTCATTACAAGATCATAAAAATGGTTCTCGTTACTGGATCAAAGACAAAAGTCCAGCCGTTGAAACGTATATTGGTTTTATAGAAACATATAGAGATCCAGCAGGACAAAGAGCAGAATTTGAAGGTTTCGTAGCTATGGTTAATAGAGAAATGTCTCAAAAGTTTACTAACTTAGTCAATAAAGCAGAAGAGCTTCTTCCTAAGCTTCCTTGGAGTAGAGATTTTGAAAAAGATGAATTCCTAAGACCTGATTTTACTTCATTAGATGTTTTAACATTCTCAAGTTCAGGTATTCCAGCAGGAATAAATATCCCAAATTATGATGAGATTAGGCAGTCTGAAGGATTTAAGAATGTTTCCTTAGGAAATGTTATACCAGCTAATATGAAGCAAGATGTATTACCATTTTTATCAGATGAAGATATAGCCTTAATGAACAAGTACAGAATTGCTAGTTTTGAAGTACAAGTTGGGTTACATGAACTTCTTGGTCATGGCAGTGGTAAACTATTAAAGGAGCTTGGACCAAATATTTTCAATTTTGATACTAAAACAGTAAAAAATCCTTTAACAGGACAATTAGTAGATAAGTACTTCACAATTGGGGAAACATATGATTCTAAATTTGGTGCATTAGGATCGTCATATGAAGAATGTCGAGCAGAAGCAGTTGGACTTTATTTGAGTTTAGAAAAAGATGTTATACGTATTTTTGGTTATACAGATGAAATTATTGATGATATTATTTATGTTAACTGGTTGTCATTGCTATGGAATGGCTGTGCTAAAGCTTTAGAAATGTATGAACCTTCTACTAAACAGTGGTTACAAGCACACTCTCAAGCAAGATATGTTTTACTTAGAGTTTGTCTTGAAGCAGAGGAAAATTTTATTACTATTACTGAAACTGAGCCAGGAAAAAATTTAAAAATGTCTTTAGATAAGTCTAAAATTGGAACTATTGGAAGAAAGGTAATTGGAGAGTTTTTAAAGAAACTTCAAATTTATAAAAGTACAGCTGATATAGAAGCTGCAAAAACAATGTATGAAAAATATAGTGAAGTACCTGATTCTGGCCCATATCCATGGGCACGTTGGAGGGAAATAGTTTTGGCCAATAAACAACCCAGAAAAATATTTGTTCAACCAAATACATTCATCTTAAATGGTTTGTATTTTTATATATTACATTTATATTTCTAATGTTATTTAAAAAAAAATGAGTTGCTAAAATTTGCTTACTAATATGAGTGATAAAATTATTTTAGAAAATAATACAATTAATGTGATGTTAAAGAACTATGAACCATCTTTCTCTGGATTGATTCAATCTTGGATAGAAAGATTTCCTACTGCCAATGTTTCAGAATTACTTATCCAACTCTGGGAAAAGGATAAGAATTACTTTACATCAGAAAATACTAATTAGTGAAAAAATTAAACAAAGCTATAAGAATATATATTATAATTGCTTTTATATTTACTTTTTTAATACAAAAGTATGCATATAATGTTACTTAAGAATTATAAAATCGTATATTTATAACAATATTTCATATGTTTTATTAAGAAAATATTTTATAAGTGCAAAATAAATATATGATTCCGTTAAAAATATACACAAATGAAATCTTAGAGTAAGTAATCATCATTTAATCACCCAGTCATCGTATGCGCTAATATTTCAATGCTATCTTATGAATTGTAACCTTATTCTAAATATTTCCATATGTTCTCTAATGTTAAAATTCATTAACCCATAATGTTTGATATCAACTTTATAAGAATATTATTAATCTAAAAATATTTTTAATTCACAATGTTTTAGATTAAAATTGTCCAAACAGATTTATCGACTATGAATATATATGACACGTGAAGAGCATACTTAATGTCCATTTTAGACGCTCTTGAAGAATGTAATTGGACTATCAATACGCTTTCATATTAACAAAGTACAGCGCACTCTAGAGAACGGAGAAGAAACTATTTCTTATTCAAAATATCTCTACCTTTCCTACACAAGGTGATTCATGGATAAAGTATATATACATATGGGGACTCGCGTACGCGGCAAAATGTACAATTTTATATATTGTTTTGCGATATCGGAATATTGAAACGTTGGTTTTAATAGGAACAATTAGGCGCTATCAATAAAATGGATAAAATAGAAAATTTACAAAAATATTTTCAAGAATTTGGATGTATCGTTGAAGACAATGGCGTTCTTGACAAATGTAAGTAATTATTATAAAAGATTTTTAAATATTTCATATTTTAAAGATATTTAAAAATTATATATTTATTACATTTTGAGTATTTGAAATAAAATTGAACGTATGATTATTACGGCTCAATGCAATTAGATTATAATAATATTATCAATACAGTGATCTATTATATCGTATAATTTTTTCAGTATCTAACCTAGCTTCTGAGATACGTATTTTCTAATAGAGTGATAACCAATACAATATTTTTTAATTATATCTTCACGTATAAACATTCCTCGATTATCTACAAATATTTTAACCGATAATGATTATATTCTTTATTTTTGTTTTTATATCATTATTTCTTATGTATTTAGCGCAATATATATACATTAAAATGTGTTTTAACAAATTCAGGCAACATTATATTATTTTCTCTCTAAATATATTTTCAATTAAGAACAAAATATATAATGATATTAAAATATAAGTCAAATTAATATAATAGCTAAGAATATTTGAATCTAATAAGAAAAAAAATGTTTTTAGGCATAGAACTTTGTAATTTATACAATGTGGATGAAGAAAAACTTGTGGAGATGTGGTTAGGATATAGTACTTCTACATTTAATGAAGTCGATATTACTTTGGATCGATTAATAAAATTGGAGCATGACTTATTAAAAAAAGAAGATAAGAGTAATAACGTAAACAGAAATGGAGAGTTTTTAAATTCAAGGAATGTTACTACAGATTCATTGAAACAAATAATGTATCCTTTAAACTTACAGAAAGTTCTTTCTTTTTCTGATCATTTTATAATAATTTTATATTTACAAGTCCTTACATAAGTAAAGTAGTGAGAGCGATAACATTCTTGAAATGTATGGTTGCGATGGAGTCAAAACACCAACAACAACAATGGTAAGTTTATAAAATCTAATCATTTAGTATTGCTAATTTAGTAATTGAACAAAATACATATAATAATAAGAAATAGTGTAGCATATTCTTATTTTACATATCGAATATATTTTTTCTATAAAAATTACATATTAATATTATATCCCATGTAACACAATTTAAGCAGTTTTATCTTTTATATAAATTTATTTTCTAGAACATAAATAATGTTAACGTTAAATTTATTTTTATTACGATATCTCAAACAAATAAGAATACAGGCTTTCACATTATTCACATTATTCGTAGGAGTTATGGAAGTTTGTTATAGAATTTTTTACATTTTCACATTTATTTTATTTTAATTTTATTATCGAATTTACCAAAGCTTTTAAAAAATTGTTATACGATAGAATTTATATTTTAAAATCTGCATTTAAACATTCCCATTTTCAAATTTTCATTGTCGGTCAACTTCGTGATGTTATGATGCTCGAAAACTGCACATTCTCTTTACTCCCTCTCTTTAACCTGCAATAGTCCCGCCCCCTCCGTAACGGCCTTCCGGCTCTGTTGCCAGATTTATAAATCTGTAGATTTCGAAATATACGTATATTGTATGGATTGAAGATATATTCGATTTATAATTCCTTTTTACACGCCATTAGTTGTTCTTTAGATCAAATGTAATATTTTTACTATTCTCGTTGATGTTTCAATATTGTTTTGCATTTAGTATTGCAAATTTAAATTTAAAGAAGCGGAATGGCAACGTTGCAACGAATCTTTGCGAGTACCACGTGAATCGCAAGGAAGATCTGAAAAACCGAATCGATGAACGTTGCCATTGCTGTTCGCATCTTTCCTTTTACTTTGTTTTGATAAAACGCGTTTATCTTTATAATTATTGTATCTCATTTAATTTAATATTTGTTCCCTAGTTCCAAAAGCCATTTCTAACCAGCTAATATAACCATTATTAATATAGTTGCATATTTTTTATCGAAATAGTTATTGGTCATTACTTAATCTTATTGGTCAAATACGTAATTATGAATGCAATCTCAGAATCAGTATCGTAGTTATAATTGGTTCCACTATACGTATTTATCGTTGTTATTTTTGACGAAATTATTAATTTTGTTCCATGCGATATAGGAACAAATGGATAGAGTTATTAAACAACAAAAAATACCAACGATCTATTCTTTTTATCGTTGTTTATAAGTCTTTTTTGTATTAGTTAGTAAAACAAAGAAAAAAATTTTATGGAAGTTCCGATGAATCGTTGCATCGAATCTGATATCTTGGCACAATAATGATTTACGTCGCTGTGGCAACACTGTCTCACATTCTTTGCGGTCGGTCCGTAGTAGCAATGACGTAAGGACTCTACCTGTGGACCCAATTCTTCGCGGAAGGCCCTATTATGACTCCCCTCTCTTTTTCTCGAGTGTCTGTCCATAGATCGTCATTCAAGCAGGAATGCCCTTTCGATTTTGATTCAAGCGTTATCGAATGATTTTGAAAGAAATTTTAATTTTTAAGGCAGTGTGTAGCGATGATTATGGCTTAATGACTTTTTAAACGAACAAACATGTTTTAAGTTTTAACTTTATTCATTTTTTTTTGTTTTGTTTTTTCCATTTATTATAATATTAATTCCATTTATAAAATGTTTTATCTATGTAGCAACATTTCGACAACTATGCCAGAAAAAAGATAAAATTTGCTCTATTTTAATAGAAAATAACAAAAGTCGATGGTATAGAAATAGTTGAATGTTATTAGATAAATAAATGGGGCAATTTGATCGCTTAGTACAGCCCTGGCCACTGCCACTGTCCCTGGCACTGGTTCCACGCTCGTCCATAAGGCTATTCTTCAGTCAAGTTGATGGTCGGTTCTCGTGTGATCGTTTAACGAGTCAGTCGTTTCCTTCGTACGTACATCTTCATTTAACGTAGACTTTTCCAAAATCTTTATTTAGTACGATCTCAAGTATAAATTCGGTTTCCAGTGTTGGAAACCGAAAGTGAATTTTAATATTCACAATTGTAAACGAACTTTTTGTAGATTGCTCGTGAAAATGCACGATCGTGATTAAACGGTAAATAATTGTAAGTTGAATCGTGAAAATCGGCAAAAATCCACAAAGATCCCTTTTTATTCTATGTCCTTTTTTTATTTTATTCTTCCTCTTTCCGTAAGAGAAGAAATATCTCCTTGGTGCAGGTGTTTTCTCAATTCGTAATGAAGCATTGCGAGGTGAGGTGAGACGAGGCGTTGTCGTTGCAGGATCTCACCGAGCACCGTAATTCCCGCCATAAAAATCGTCCAGGTAGATCGCCCCGCCATTATTTCTCTCCCTCCGGTTCGCTCTCGCTCGAACGCTCTCCCACAAAGGACACTAGACAGGCGGAAGGGTAGGAGAGATGGAGAGCGGTCGGTTATGTTCTTCTCCAACGAGTGAGAGAAGGGAGGACATGTATGTATGTATACATGTATGTGCGCGTGAAAAAGAAAGAGAGAATGACGAGCTGGCAAGGGGAAGAAGGAGAAGTGTGTAAGAGAGAGAGAAGGAGAATCTCCCTCCAACGGCAACTGCCGAACAGATTTCTTTCAAAGGGCACGATTTCAGTTTTCAAGGACCCAGCCAGGCTCTGGCATCGTCGATGCGCCGATGCCGGTCATGTATTCGATTTGAGCTTGCCAGAGCATCTTTTTTTTTTTTTTGTTATTTCATACTCGAAAATGTCTTTTCGTATCGGGATGTGCGCGTTCGTGTCGTGGCAATTGTTTTGATTTTCTTTGTGGTTCCTCTGTTATTTGTTTCTCTTTTCCAAGTGTTTTATCCTTAAAATATCATTTGCGAGAGGGAGAGAGAGAGAGAGAGAGAGAGAGAGAGAGGGAGAGAGAGAGAGAGAGAGAGAAAGTGAGAGAGAGCGCGAGAGTCGTGAATGGTCTCTCCCCTTCCTCTCTCAATAGTATTCTCCTCCATTTGATATTTCGACGTTGTCCAAAAAAAGAAAGAAAACCATTGTTGTTACAATCATCCAAAATTCTTCGATGAATTATTTAAATTATTTTCATCGTCTCCGAATCGAATAATAGAGAGTTGCCTTTCGAAAGCGGCGTCCTACGTCGCTCCGTTCGCTCGCGCGTCGGCCATAATGGAGCGCCGCTGTAGTCGTGAGTGAGTTTACGCGCAGGATAGACGACGACGACCTGTTGCTTTCGTTTCCCTGATTTCGTGTGTGTATTCTATGCGCGGGAATCCATAGTGATCATTTTTACATGTGTTCATTCCATTCTTATCGTCTAAGGATGATGGAAAATCGTGGCGCGTCAAGGAAGAAAGAGAGAGAAAGAGAGGAAGAGAGAGAGAGAGAGAGAGAGAGAGAGAGATCGAGAGATCGAGTCGGTAGATTTCTCTTCAACGGCCTGAGATTCCGTTTGGTTCATCTCCCCTCTCCAATTCGTAATCTCTAGACCTTTCGTCGAACGAGAGGAGCGTTTCCGGTTGGATAGCGCTGTCTTCATCGTCACTCGCTAGATTTTCTCTCTCTCTCTCTCTCTCTCTCTCTCTCTCTTTCTCTTTCTCTCTCTGTTCATGTCCTTCTCTCGCCATTGGAATTCACGCGAATCGTAGCATCGTCTTTTGCCCACGGGAACAAATTATTTCGCTCGAAACGAGCATCGCGTGACGCCTCATGTTATACCGACTCGTTTCCATGATGCGTCTTCTCCATCTCTCTCTTTCTTTCTCTCTCTCTCTCTCTCTCTCTCTCTCTCTCTCTCTCTCTCTCTCTCTCTCTCTATCTATCTATCTCTTTCTATTTGTCTCTCCTTAACCGTCTCTTTCTGATTCCCCTCCTCCTCGATCGAATAGCACTGGCATTTCTTCCGATTATATGTTTGCTATCGCGCGTCGTTGTCGTATTGGTGTCGTTCATATTCTTACTGATTTTCTACGAAAAGCAAAGTCTCATTCATTTTAGTCATTGTGCTCGCGAAACTCGTTACTCCTTGTGGTATATATATATATATATATGTGTATATATATATATATTTCTTAACTTACATTTTTGCGTTCAAGATCATGTGAATCGTTACGAATCAAAGATGCATATATATATATATATATATATATATATAGGAGCTGATCGTGCTTATTCTCTTTCTTTTCTTTTACAAATGACGACGAAGGAATGAAGTGGTAGGAGTGAAAGTAAAACGAGTCTTCGTCGATATATATCGGACAACATGTGGCCCGGGAACGAATGAGCGCGTTCGATAAATCGTGTTATAACTCGCGTACACGATGTCGAGGTGTATCTAATATTCGTGGATAACCTTGCATTCTCGGTTCGCGTGCCGGCGATAGTAGTAGGGACGCGCACCGCCTTTCTCTCTCTCTTTCTCTCTCTCTCTCTCCCCCTCCTCTTTCTCGCGTGCACGCATGCCGCATGTTCTGCTGTGTGCGTACGTGCAAAGGCGAGTGCGTCGACCGTACAGTGGATATGAGAGCGGCGTCGTCATCAGCTCTCTTCTCACCAGCTATGCAACCTGTTGCAGGCACGTTCGAACGACTTTCGTCCTCGAAACTTCTCAAAATGATCCTTACAAGAATGAATATTCTTTCGAGCCGCGTCCCTTTACTTCGCGTTCATACATTAATTATTCTCCTTTTACGGGAACGTAATTTACTTTCGATAATGTTCAGAGTTAACGTATTTCACGTTTGTTAATGTACACGATTCTCCCTTTTTCTCTCTCGATCTATCTATCTATCTATCTATCTATCTATCTATTTATCTATCGTGTTTTTATATTCATTCAAGTCATTTGAAAAATCTTCATCGAAAGATTCTGCGCACTTTCGTTTCTTCCTCTGTCGTCGCGTCCCGTAACAAAAATATTCGGTTATCAATAAAATTCGATATTAATTCGATCAAATCTGAAATGTGCTCGTTTATTGAGCGTCGAGATATTTAATTTGGAGAAAAAGATTAAAAAAAAAAGAGAAAGAAAGAAAGAAAGAAAGAAAGAGTAAATATCTGAATTCAAGGAGAATTGACTTTCGTCTGGTTCTATTTATACGTATTATATATTAAAACATATTCTATGATCTCTTCTTATTTACTTTCGTATTCGTTATAATTCTTATTTACAAAGACAAACAACAAACATATTTCGATCATTTAAATAGTCGTGAATTTTACAAATCGAGGAAGCGACGACAATGTAGTATGTATGTATGTATGTATATGTCACAACAATGTCACGTCCTTCTAATGTCTTTCTTTTAAGTCCCTTGAAATAATTTACTCTTGGACGATAAATATTCCTTTGGACGATAAGTATGCTCTTTGGCATTTTTATTCTGATAATCTATATCATTGTCAGTCATTTGTCTGTCGGATGCTTCGCGATCTAATTTATATCTTTAGATTTATCTCAATGTTTTATTTTGAAACTAATCGTCGATTATGAAAGCGTTGCAATGTATGATATCAACACGTTATACTAGGTGATATTATGAAACGATATATAAAATAATAAAATGCAAAAGACTACTCGTCGGAAAATTGGACTCGTTGGAAAATTTCAAATAATTCTTTTTTCTTTTTTTTTCGGATAGCAAAAACAATAAAAGAATAAAAAGGAATAGAAGGAGGTGCAGGAGGAAGCAGATAGGTAGGTAGGTAGGTAGGTAGGTAGGTAGGTAGGTAGGTAGGTAGGTAGGTAGGTAGGTAGGTAGGTTGGTTGGTTGGTTGGTTGGTTGGTTGGTTGGTTGGTTGGTTGGTTGGTTGGTTGGTTGGTTGGTTGGTTGGTTGGTTGGTTGGTTGGTTGGTTGGTTGGTTGGTTGGTTGGTTGGTTGGTTGGTTGGTTGGTTGGTTGGTTGGTTGGTTGGTTGGTTGGTTGGTAGATGGGTAAGTTGGTAGATAGATAGGTAGGTGTAGTAGTCGTCAAGGTCACAAGGAAACGCGGGACGTTGTCTTATGGTCTTCTTTCTGTCAAGAACGATTCCTCGGTGAGTCGTACGCATCTACCAATTAAGTGCAATTGACCGACAACTGTCTGCCCACTCCCATGTATGTCCACTCTCTCTCTCTTTCTCTTTCTCTCTTTCTTTCTCTTTCTCTTTCTCTCTCTCTTTCGTTCTTTAAACATCCTTTTCTCGAACACGTACGCCTTCCTCCTTTCTTTCGATTTTTCTTTTTTTTTTTCTCGTGTCAAGGACATAGGTTCGTTGCAAAAAAATCGATATTTATATAATTTGCATTTGTTTCATTGTGTGTGTACATACCGGCATGTATTCTGTATCGTGAAATGCGAGTAACTGGTAAAAGTTCAACGTCATTTCTCACGCTCCTCTTTTTCTCTCTCTCTCTCTCTGTCCTTCTCTCTCTCTCTCTCTCTCCTCTCTCTCTCTCTGTCCTCTCTCTCTCTCTCTCTCTCTCCTCTCTCTCTCTCCTCTCTCTCTATCCGTCGATCTTATGACCGTGGGACGAGGGGGATGAAAGGCGATGGGAGGGCAAGTGGTTGGTGAAGAGACGAGAGAAAAATGAAGGTAGGGGGGATAGGAGGTACGCGAGTGGTCGAAGGCGCAAAGGGAATCGTACTTACATATGCGAAGATCGGCTGGTCATTTGCAATTTCGTGATCCGAAATTGTAGCCGTGTGAAATCTCTCTCTTTTTTTTTTTTTTTTTTTTTTTTTTTTTTTTTTTTTTTTTTTTTTTTTTTTAAATATCTTTTTCTTGGTCGTCGGCTTCGATTCATAAAGGCTTTGGTTTGCCGCATCCTCGAAATTGTTTCATTTCATTTTTCCCATCTCATTCTTCTTTTTTATCTATATAGATTTCGCCGGACGCGAAATTTCAAAAAACAAATTAAAGGGACGCAAAATCCATTCAATCAAATATCGTTCAGAAATCCCTCAAAGTTATTGTACTTATTCAACCACAACGACGACGACGACGATGATTTGAAAAAATGGAAGTATTATTTTATACCGATTAGTAGCCGAAGGTAGCCGATCGTTACTGAATCATAAGGAATCGCGTTCAATGCAAAGTCATGGGAGAAGAAATGCTTTGAAATTGATTGAAATAATACGCAATAAAACAAGTACTAAAAGTCTTTAGGTTAACGGCAGTTTAACCTCGCTTCGTTGCCGTTGGCTCGAGAAATAGCCCACCCTTTTCTTCGATTGTCGTCTTTGCCGTTCATCGTTGTTCATCGTTGTTCATATCGTCGTTATTAGAGTTGTAATGGTTATGCGTCGAATATATCCTCCTCCCCTCTCCATTTTCGTGCTCTCTACGCTGTTGATTGTTACCGCCGATCGTGAGTGCAATGAACGATCGCGAAATAATTCCCGAGTTTTATCGGAGATATGCGCGCTGTAGATCCGAAAGCTAAAATGGATTAAAGCAAGGAAGAAGGTGGTGGTGTACCAAGCGGAGGAAAGAAGACATCGATTTTCTGGATGTGCAGAATGAGTGATGGTCTAGTGCACAGTCGATAAAGTTGTGACTAGATCCACACTCATTAAGCACGTTCGGTATTAACATCGCAGTTTCATCGACGGTTCTGCGAGATAACAATGGTTCTCGATATTCGTTAAAATGATCAATATCCATTTACTTACAATATCATAAGCTTTATCATGAATCTTCATATTTATGATCTTCTTTTTTATTATTATTTTTCTATTTTCCTATTTTCCTTCTTTCTCGCTTATGTAATTTTTATTTGGTAAAACTTGTTCTCCCTAAAGATAAGTAAGCGAATCTACATAGGGGGATGTATTATATAGTAATTTAAATAACACTTATCGTAATAGATTTTGATCTAAGCTAAAATCGAATTTATTCAAAGGAAAATATCGACATATCGAGAACCACTGTGTTTCAAGGTTTAACGCGTTTCAAATGGCCAGAACAAAAAGGCGATTCCATAGACGAGTATGAATGTGGTGCACGTTTGCATTATTTTCTCGTGACTAGATACATACTCGTCTACGGCAGACTGTTTTGGATATTAAAAAAGTGAGATTGGTAGCTCTCGAGAAAATAACATTATTATTATCATCAATCGTAATAAATACATATTATTATTTGATCGTTACTATTAATTTTATTTTCTTCATATTTATTCTGTCTAATCGCCTGATAATTTTTTTTTTGTATCTTTTTCTCTTTTCATTTAAAGGGCAAAAGGCTACGAAGTCCGGAGTTATTGTCGGAAAATCAAGATGGTAAAATACGTGCCGCGGATGCGCATTTTTCACCCGTCAGTTACGTAACGAAAGCGTAAGTTTCTTTCAAATTAAAATTAACAATTTTATTCGTTATTCTTAAAATAATGTATAATATTAAAATGTATATTTCAGGGATACTCCGTTCAGATATCCCGTTAACGTCGACACGGGAAAGGTTTTATTGTTTTTTGGAAAAGAAATTTCATCGTGGAACAGAGAGTTCGATTACGATGTGGAAATTATGCAATTAGGCGAAGGCGTCCCGGCAAACATAATGTACATGTTCGAATTACTTCACAGTCAAGGATCAATGCTTAGGACCGTTTGTTGTGACGTAGGAGAACGTTTGTGTAATATTTGGGCGAAATTAGAGAACGTCGATATACATTACACGAAGGATGTAATGTTTCAAAGTTTAACAAATTTTCGAACGTGGGGCCGAATTCTTTGCGATGCTAATACCAAATCCGATATCACGAGTTACATGCTAGAGGGTTGCAAGTGGTCGCATCACGATAATAAAACATCTGTCGTATCTTTGAACTTAAGCGGTGTAAAGCAGTATTCCTTATATCCGGGTCAAATTGTGGCAGTCGAAGGAACAAATCCAACGAGAAATGTTTTAAATGCGAAACGATTTTTTACTAAAGGCTATGCTAGTAAACCCGAACCACCTAGACTTACAAAAAGTTTAAATATTATGATCGCGGTTGGTCCGTTCACACCGTCAGATAATTTGTGTTATCAACCTTTGTTCGATATTATGGAGCGCGTAGCGAAAGAAGAGCCTCACTTATTAATACTCATTGGACCGTTCGTTGAGTATAGTCATCCAGAAGTTAAGAGTACTTCGATCAAAGAAACATTTCAAGAACATTTTGAGAGATTGCTTGTAAAAGTTATGCAATATGTTTTAGGGTACAGTATTTTTTCCCTCTCTTGTAATCCCTTTTATTATACATTTGGATTTTATTAACGCTTCAGATAACGTTTATGCGATATTTCTAAAATGATCCTTTTCGTTGTTGTAGAAAACTTGTTAAAGTTATAATGGTACCATCGTATAGAGATGTTCATCATAGTCCCGTTTTTCCAACCCCCGAATTTCTCGTTAATAAGGACAAAATGCCATTAAATGGTGAAAATCTTTATATGATGCCAGATCCTTGTATGTTGAATATAGAAGGTTTGATAATCGGTATAACATCGGTCGATAGTATTAAACATATAGCAAAAGAAGAAATTTCGTAAGTATTTTTAGACTTTTTTTTTTTTATATACGATATAAAAATACGTGCATATCGTATTATTTTTTAATGTATCTTTTTGTTTTGTTTTGTTTTTTTTTTAGAAACCTGCCAACAACGGATAGACTTATTCGCATAGCCGATCACATATTGTCTCAACGTTGCTTTTATCCGTCCTATCCCCCTGCTATAAACCTCGATACGAAATTGTGGAAAAAATACGCTTTCTTCGATCTACAACCGCATATATTGATTTTGCCATCGGATATGCGTTATTTTTGTGGCGTAATCAATGATTGTCTCGTTATAAACCCTGAACGATCGATCAAGTATACGTACGCAAGGTTGTGTATTAGACCAAACGAACAATGGAATCCTCATACTGTATCTTGTGAGATAGGAAAAATTTGAGAACATTATTCGTAGTATCTGTTTGATTATCATATCACGTTATATGTTTATTTAAGGAAATAATTTACATTTTTTTCTTTTTTTTTTTGTACAGTTATTTTTTTCCTATTAAAAAAAGAAAAGATCACTTTCACTTTTTAAACAAATATCATTCAAATATTTTTACATATTACCTACGATTCAAGCATCATCTTCAAAAGTTGTATTTTTTTTATAATATGCAAAATAAGTATCTTCAATTTACATAGAAGTAACTTCTTATCA